TTTTTTCCTTTCCCTTCTTCTATCTTATAAACTCTTCTATCGCTCCTTCAAAATATCCTAACTGAGTTTTTATGGGCGAAAAAGTAATAAATTTTATTTGGTTGAAGTGAAGAATCTAATCGCACTAGAGAAGTTTGGTCGGGATGAGAAATTAAATCTTTCTTTAGAAAGAAGATTTGACTGAGATAGTGTTGAAAAATTGATGAAGGGGAATGCGAAAAAAAGGATTGAAATGTTCTCCTTAAGGTTTTTTTACTTCGCTTGAAATTACGCTTTCTTATACATATTTACGTATTTTCTAATCCGTTTTAATAAAATGGCAAAGGTAAATCTAGTCGTTAAGAAGGCTTTTTCCTTAAAATAGCAAATTCTACCATCCCCCTTCTACTTTTTTAAAATAATAGATTTAATATTAAATCTAACAACTCTTCCAGAATAGATTTAACTACGCTCTGTCGAAAATTCTTCCAGGGATATTCCAATCATTTTCTCTTTGAAACGTAATCGAAACTATCAGATTATAATCCTTTGAAAAGGCATCAAAAGTATTTCTTTCGTAGATTTACAACTTACAGAAAACTCAAAACTAATTTCTATTTTTTTCTTCGTGTGATCTGCGCGATTAAAGTAATTCCTAAATATTGGAATTTCTCTAATTTATACATTTCAGTCTCGTCGGGGTTGGAATTCGATTCGTTCTTGACCTTGGTTATAAAATATAACAAGCTCTTCGCCTCCACCAAATAATGATATGTGTAAGAATGCGAAGCGTAACCTATAGACTCATAATGCCAAGCCCTAAGATGTAACTTCAGTTTATGTGCAAATCCGGCTCTGTGTTTCATATAGCCTATATTTTATAGGTGATTTTTATAACATCTTTAAGCTAGATTTAAGCTGTATCAGCGATGAACTTTAATTCGAAAAATATTGCTTATAAAACTAATTAATAAGCCAAGAACAATTGAAGGATGAAGAAGACATTTTTCTGAAGTTTAGAAAGAATTTCGTCAAATAGTAATTTAAAAATATATATACTTTTCTGAGCCTAGTCACTACTATAAGTGAAACAAGATCATAATTAATCTGTATAAAACATATTTAAAAACTTTATTTACAGTTTTAAAAATAAATATAAATTTTTAAATAGATTCGAATAAAACAGAAATGGTTAGATTTTATTAGTCAAAATTGTGAATTATGAAGTTACAAGATCTTTCAATTTATAAATAAAGTCTACCTTTATCAGATAGACCTTTGATAGGTCTACTTTATTTAAGAATATATAGGCTATATATAGCCTATATATATACATTTGGATTCATTTTTGGATTTTTGGATACATATATTTGGATTCATTCATATATAGGCCTATACAAATTTGGATCCATCTGCAGTAACTATATTTTGTTTCAATCTTGATTTCTTGAGTTATACACGTTATATACTCGTTAAAATGATATATATATCCTATATATATATTATGAAAATGATATATGATATATAAAATGATATATTATATATATATATATATATTATTTTAACGAGTAAATAACGTGTATAACTCAAGAAATCAAGATTGAAACAAAATATAGTTACTGCAGATGGATCCAAATTTGTATCCTTCAGATATATGTTGTCGAAACTCTTAGAGATTCCCTCGTCTTTACGGATTTGGATTAGAATTTGAATCAGATCTTAGAGATTTTTCGTGGGTCATTAATCATTCTCGTTTCTCAGCAGTGTAAGACGACTCTATCATGACTAAATCCGCCCCTAATGGGCAAAACAAGACCTTATAATGTTATATGGCCCGCAAGGCCTTAAAACATCGACAAATCTAATCAAATTTAGGTAGAATATGTTAACCATTGTCTTCAGTAAGTGTTAAACTATCTTTTTATGGAACATAGACTTTATCTTTTAGAAATTGTAATCCGTGGTAAGTTATCAGCTTCTATTTAAATTTCCGATTAGGCCTACAAAAAAGGAAAAATTTTAATTTACCGAATTTGATTAAATTTAATAAATCAATATTATAAACTTGTCAGTGTTTTATAATTGAAAAATATAAATCAAATATAAATATAAGATATAAGACCAACTTAAGTGAGTCGATTCTGTTTATAATAACCGATAAGAAGCGTCTTATGGTTTATATAAAAAGTAAAAAGTAAAAGTATTTTGTGCGACGAGTCTTGTGCCTTTAATAGAGAAAGATACTCTCTTATCGGAAGTACACAAAATAAATGAAGAGAAGGCCTTGCGGAAAACATCATCAGAACCAACAAAGAAGGCCCTACATTAAGATCTTAACTCATCGCAGCGGTGTTTGCGGTCTCTTTACAGACATTTCCAATAACCGCTGAAGTAAATATTGAGCCCCAACTCGGGAGAGAAAAGAAAAAAGCATGGCCACGTATTGCCTTAATGGAAGTGATGCGAAGGGGAGGAGGCAGCGGTGTTTGGACACACACCGCAACCGCTTTAACTCGTGTTTGTTGTAGATAGGTTTGATTTTTCTATTGGGAGGGGGGCACACTTTATCAAGCATTTCATTTCACGGTTTCTCGATCATTCCCAAAGCCTACATCTCCCAATCGCTGCATTAAAACCACCATCCGATTCAGGCGTAAGGTCCTATGCCTTTCTGTTAGAAATCACTTCGGCGGAATATACGCATATACAATGAACACGTGGAAAGGTGCAATTTTTGTTACTTCAAAGAATTTGCTATAAAGACCTCCGACGTGTGAATCGATAGATAAATATCAATTTAGGTGATTGTGGAAATCATATAGCTAGAAGCAACATTTTGATAAATTCAGGATGTTAAAATAGAAATTCTTTTTTAATATCACTTAGAAATTTAGGATAAGTTTTCTATATTCGTGCTTCGGAATCTATTTAAAACTCGATCTGTAAATGTTTACGTAGGCCTAGGTAAGAATTTACACTTTTCTACACGTAACTAGCATTGAGTGTACAAAATTATTTTATAGTATCATTATTTTATCGTTAAAATTGAAACGCTTATATATATATATTTTTGCATAGATAAAAATAAAAAAATAATAAATCTCGTTAAAATAAAGACGTGGAAGTTGAATTTTTGAAAGATGCGGAAGATCAAAATTAATCGGATGCGAGGAGAAGAAAAGACAATCGGAAATAGAGAAAATGCATTTTGAAATATATAAGAATCTCTCGAATAATGTAATAAAGCTTAGAGTTAATATTTAGCTAGGCTCTTCTTAAGTTTAATACCGAATGATGGCATCGATATTTTTGGAAGAAATCCAATTGAATTCAATAGCCATGTTGAATTACGTCGTAAGCTTGTTTTGACGATAATCTTCAACATTTATATGAGTAGAGAATTGTAGAATCGAATGAGTTATGTTGACAAACATGGCGAAAAAAGATGACGTCGAGTGACAGTTAAGTAAGTGAATGTCATACTTATCTACACAATAAGCTTGCGACGTCTCAATCCGATTTTTCGTTTTTAAGTTCGGTTTTTGGATTGTAAAATGAATTAAATCGTTTTTATTCTCAGATGCTCTTAAAGATACTTTTTGCCTCTAGCATTTTGCTTTCTTTCTTTGTTTCATCGGATTCCGTTCATCAATAAAGAACTCTCAAAACCAATCGATATTCATATTGAACGAAACTTTAAGTTCAACTAACTGTTTGTCAAACATTTAAGTTTGAATTTTGTCAATATTGAAACTAACTGCTAAGTTTTGGACGGAGGAGGATAAAGATGCCCTTCGATTTGGTTTAATTAAACATCTCGGTAAGAGTATATCTGAAACTAATAAGAAAATCCTAAATGTTTGGTGTATTTTGTACATATATTATGTACAGTTACTTTATTAAACAGCGCTACGACATATGACAAAAATACGGAGTAGCTGTTACACGAATTTAAAATAATTAACTGCATTTTAAATTCTTAGGCGATGCGATATTTGCTCACTGGGATTAAAGCGATATTTGGAAGATCTTAGTTAATCTTGAAAATCCATTTACAAACAAACTGCAACTCTCTAAGGTAAATGAATGGAAGTTCTGTTCTGATGACAGGCGGGTCCTTGTCAAGCTTCTGTCAATCGTTGTCTACTTCCTCATTAAGTAATAATTAAGTCATGTTAATGTCACTCGCTAGGGCAAGTCTCGCTTGTCAACTGCACTATCAAGTGCTTGTCTTGAAAGTAGATTGGACAAAGTAGTCTGGTTCGTTTTGTTTCGTCTAACTTTGTTTCCAAGCTCAACGAGTTGTTATTAGACAATTTACTAATTTATTTATTTATTTATTTTTTTTATTATTAATTTTGTTAAAGGCTACATTTCATTGGAGAGAATACAACATGCACTTACAGTTTTTTGTACCACCGCTACGACACTTTACGGCGAATTTGTCAAAATGGTTACTTTCAAAAGTATACAACAACGAAATTGTTGAAAAAAAAGAGTGATAAAAGAACTAGAATTTACACAAGATAAAAGACGATGATTTGATTAGAGTTTTAAATAATTTTTCATTGTCTACTTTGAAAATGAATGCCTAAACTAGTCTAATGAACAGTCTTTTCTAATTCTGTAATCGATTTGGGCTTTGAAAAATAAATCTCTTTCGTTTTGATATGGCATAATCAACTATAAATAGAAGACGAAATTTGTCAGCAGCCTTTAGGCCAATCACAAAGCAATAACTTTGGCAACAATCGAATTTTTTTCAGATGAATAGAACCTTAAGTCTTATACTGTATATTGTTTCACTTCAACAGAAGCGCTAGATAAGCAATATATTTGCGCTCTTTTCAAGATAATTAATTATTCGTAGCGCGGAGATTAAATACAGCAAAGATATTATTTTTTAAATTTATCTTTTGAATTGTGAAAGATATTGATACCGAATAACTCTAAAGTTAGGAAAAAATCAGACAATACGAATGATCCTGATGTACACAAATCATTTATTGTTAACACGACTGAATGAAAGTTTCTTACCTGCTACAAAGTCACAAATGTTCTACACCTCGATCTTGGATTTTTTTCTCCTTTGGTAGGTACTACACAACTCAAAATTAGAACAATTAATTTAAAACATTTAACTGTACAGTCAAGTAATGGCCTTGTCCTAATAGAGATTTTGAAAAAGTTCATTTCGGGATCCCGCACTCGGATCGATTTTAAGTCACTACTACTGACACTATACACACGTTTTTAAGTCTGTTCACATTAATTTGGATGATTGCCATCATCCGGTCTGATAAAAGTCTGTAGAAGTCGGTAACGGTAACCGAATTCTCCAAGTCATCGTCCGGTGAGCTAATATACAGTTTTGTGTTCAGTAGATTAGTTAAGCTAATCTACCATGTCCTACCTTGCAGTTGTAAATAAGAGGGACACATAGTGTTAGATACTCCCGTGGTTAAGTCCAAATTTCCGACTGCTACCGTCTGACTATAACTTGCCATTCCATTCAAGCATCCTAGAGTTGTTGCTGTGGTTGCTGAGGCGGTGACGGAACACGGCGTCCGCGAAATGGACGTATTTTGACCACACACATCGGCTAGGCAACTGGAAGGATTGCGAGCCTGTCCACCCGGGTGCTGTAGTTGAGCCTGCATCAAGTCTCCGGTGGTAGAGCCGTCGTCGTCGCCCGAGCCTGCCGAGCACGGTTTGCCGTCTTTAACCAAAACTGGAACCGCCACTTTACGCGGTGATTGTTGCTGCTGTTGTTCCGCCATTGCCTTCTCTTTAGCCTGCCTCTTGCATTTATATCGATGGTTTTGGAACCAGATCTTGACTTGAGTCGGGGTGAGATGGATGAGACTAGCCAGATGCTCTCTTTCTGGTGCCGACAAGTACTTTTGCTGTTTGAAACGTCTTTCCAGTTCGTAGACTTGAGCCTGAGTGAATAAAACTCTCCTTTTTCTTCTTTGAGTGAGTGGAAATTGAACTCCGGCCGATGCTGCTTTCTGTTCTGCGGCGGCGGCTACACTGCAGGCGCTCAACGTCGACATGTTCATGTTGGACATGGTCATTCCCGGTGACGATCCCATCAACCTAGTAACTGAAGAAGAAATTTAAGTCCCATATAATTACTATTTTTATTACATTACATATACAACGAGCTCTCTTCCTCTCGATCTTGAACATTTTAAAAGACTCTTTCATTAAAGTTCAAGATCAATATGGAAGTTTAGGCCATTGTATAATAAATTCAATATCTTATTAAGAAGTTTAATCCGTTATTAAAATCGAGGTAACTAATTCTCACGAGTATTTTATTAAGCCTTTTAAAATAAGGAATTGAACTTGTTAATTCTAAATAAGTTCACTTCCTTATTTAACTAGATTGTTCCTAAAGACACGATAATAGCCTTTATTTTGCAGATTATTTATTAATTGATTCTAAATTTTCTTCTGGTAAAAGTTGTATATTATTTATTTTATTTTTAATCTATTTAAATTATCATTTTAATTGAACCAACCTTATAAAGTTTATAACTGCTTATAAATGCCATAAACAATATACGTTATTTATGAAATAATTAATTTTATATATTTCGTAGGTAATTTTTGAAATTTAATGAGATAATTTTATTATCCCAGCATAAATATTCTAATTTTGTTTTCAAACTATCTAACGATGAGCCACACCTAAAAAAGGATCCTGTACGGGCCTAATGCTTTAAATTAATCAAATGAAAATCTTTCTAATGCAATTCTAAACCTGTCGAAAGTGTAATTTTGATGAATTATTATCCAATTTTCTTATATTTGTGTGAATTTTACGTTAAAAGTTTGGAATGAGTTATGTTTTAACAGAGAGGATAAATTTATCAACGTTTCCGATATTGTTATTACACGTGTTTATATTTTAAAATCCTTTAGAGATCCTGAAAATATAAAAGCTGAAATTAGAAATTATATCAAATATAGGCTCAAGATCTTAATCGTTAGAGAAAGTAGAATAGAGGAAGTAGAGTAGGTTCATTATTTCCGAAACGCAAAAACTACAACAAATTTAATAAGTAAAAGAGAAGAAATGCTTACTAAATAATTGTATGTTAATAAATAAATGTGAAAATTTCATTTTATAATTAGGCCTATAATTTTAAACAGAATATAGAAAAAGTTAATTATTTTTTAATCGAATATTCTCAAGATAAAAGCTGTTATCGCTTGATAAAAGTAATTTATCGATAGAGAAAAATACAAGAAATGCTTCTAAAATTCGGCTATTTTGTATTTTAAAATGTATAGGCCCTTATGTGACATGTTTTCGGCCGATAAAATAACTTCAATTGTGTATAAAGATTGGAAACGTCTTTCGTTTACTTTCTCGTATATTAAAGCTGTTCGTAGTGTTTGGAATGTTTTTTGAAATATTCCAACCTTACAGACAAAATACATTCGTGGTTACGCTGCAACTAAACAAACAGTCGATTCTTGGCTCTGCGCCCGAACCCCGAACGTGTTATTTGTTCCGTGATTGTAAGTGGAACTGTGCAAAATGTGACAGATCGTTCGCATACCCTCTATTTACATACTGTCACGTCGTCACGCATATTGAACGTGACCCGAGTAGTGTAAGATACCTTGACCCTCGATGACCATCTCGTAGCAGATGAATATCAGATTCAACTTTGCAGTTATCTAATGCAGACGTAATCTACCTTCTGTGACGACTTCGAACAAACAATGTTTGTTTTACATCTTCTTTTTACTTCGGTCGTCTGCCAAAACTCATAAACAGATGAGTATTACAGACCTTTTGACCTTAGTAATCCTTTATCGAGCTAATTGCTATAAAATTATGTTTTAAAAAGTGCAATCTCGATTCTCGAAACATCTTTATATAACGCTCTATAATACTTTTATATACAATTCCAGGTACCTTTAAAAATTCTTTTTAGGAAATTTTAACGTTTATCTTGTTAGAAGGCTTAAAACCTTAAAAGGCCTTGGAAAAATTAGGCTACGGGATCGAACTTTAATCAAAATTATAACCTGGCCTTACGAGTAATGAAACAAAATATAAAGCAATGCAAAGAATTATCACAAAATGTTCTTTATTAAAACCAATTGCCAAACAATACACAGGCCAAGGTTAATGTCAATTGGCCTTTTCCATAGGAGCCTTTGTGAATATCTACTTTCAGGCCTTCTTATTTTTCCCAACATATAAAATGAAGACTCTTAAAATTATATAATTGATTGCAAAATTTTAACAGATGCAAATAATAATTAACATAAAATGTTTGTTTTCGGGACAGAGTTTAATGAGATTAAAAGTTAGCAAATATAGGAAAGAAAGTAGGTTTTTGGCAAACAAACTTACTAAAAAACGGGACAGTTTTGCATATTTATTCAGCGTAGGTGTTTTCTCTCCTGATTTGCAAGGTTATCTTGTTACTAAGCAGTACTTTTCCTTAGGTCTAGTCTTAGCGAACGTTTCAGCATCTGTAGTGGCCTATTAAATCATGCAGAAATATAACTTTATGCTCTATTTTCAGCCTTTTCAATAATTATTTTTCTATTTAAAATCCTCTTTGAACTTAATTCCACTCGGTTATTTGAAGATTATAACAAAAACTAGCTTAAAATAAAATAAGCTCACGTCTAACTCCATCAAAATATCATTTAGGTTGTAGGCCATGAACTAACGAGAATGAAAACGTTTCACTTTCCCTCTTACTTTATTTCAAGGCTCTATAAAATGTCATTGACCCGTTAATTATATTTAATTTTTACATATTGATCAATCTATTACTAGTGTATTTACTTCCAAGCCTTATAAAAATTATAACAAAGCTCAGAAATGAAAAAACAAGTTTCATAAAAAATGATATAAATTTAATTTAATACAAAAATATTATATTTATTGGAAAATATTTGATTCGTTTTAGAGAAACAACTTTATATTGGAGAGAAGAGGCCAAACAGTGCAAAATTAGAGCTCCCAATATATAGAGTTATAATCGGTTTTAACGACGACTAGATAGGACAGGAGTTGGCTTGTGGGACATCTAGTAACTCAAGGACGCCACCCGATTGGATAGGACTCCATAATTAAGAGATAGTGGAAGTTAAATACACCCACAGGGTTAGTGGGCTGTGTTTGATAAGTTGATTAAGTTATCTCATCCAATCCCCCGCCCCGTATTCATATCCCCTACATTCATTGCCTAAGAGTTATTCAATTTCTGAACTTATACACTGCTCCGAATTAATTCCCCTAAGCCAAAACCTTCATTTTAGCAACGTTTTCGGCATTTATCAAAATGTAAAAGAGCTAGAAGAGTTTGTCTATCGGTTTTTCTGATCAATCAATTGCAGAACTCGACGGTTGTCGTTTTTAAATGTAGAATATATTCTACAAGCAAAACATTTGTAGCGATTTAAGAGACTCGTTGCCGTTATTGAATTTTCTTTTAGGCTAGAATCGCTACAACTCCCAACAGAATCATCGCAAATATTCTAGATATTAGCTTGCAGATTCTAATTTAATGTTGATTTTAGAAGATGGTGAAGGGGAAAATCCTTTGATCGAAACAGATCGATATTGGCTAATATACGTTTTTATGCGAATCCATCCAGCTTTTAACTCGTCTCCAAACTTGAAAATTAAAACTACAAAGTCTTACATTCTCGACTCTAAAGCCAAATTTTTTAAAAATAGACTTAGGCCTACGCTTCGGCAATCTGTAAACTGATTAAATTTTCTAATTTCTTTGACTGGAATTAAGCGTAGGCCTATACGAGACTTGGGCGCATCCGAAATTCGGTATTTTCCGATCTTGATTGTAAGAAGGGATTTTATTTAAAGATACCCAAGAGCTCACCAGGCCCTTTCTATCATTTACTCAGTGCTTTGTGATGTTGACAGAGAAATAAGATTTTATTCTATTTAATCTCCGCGCTAACAATGTGTCTTTATGAGTCTTGTTTACACAAAGACATCAATGTGTTGTTGCATTTATCAAACAGTCACTTTTTACAAACTTTTATATTTTAGTGAAGTAGCCTAGAACATTAAGACTTTTTAAAAGTGGAGAAGTGTCATTGAGTGTATCTAACCACTTCACTAACACTTGTCATTTATAACCGTTAATTATTAACATGTTCTTCTCTTTTGAGTGCATCTAAGTTACTATTGAGATATTTAACGCAGTTTAGAAAAACACGGACGAAGATAAGAACATAAATTACTGTTTTGAACACCAATTTCTCGGACTATCAGTTTCTGTCAAAGGGTAAAGTAGAAGCACTTCCTCCGCTTTAACATTTCTGATCGTAAACCTTGTAAATTTAATACGAAGATAACGGAGTTGCTTTCAATACACCAAAATAATATCAGTTTAAATGATGGCCAAAACGGCCTAAACTGCGTTATCACTAAAAGATTTCGTACTTTTATTTTTAATATTTTCATTATCATTTCGTAGAACACGCATAGTTTAGCAGCAGTTTATTATGGAGTAGGTCCGAAAGGGATGCTCAGCATTTGAATGAAGTTTAAAGAACTTTAATAGGCTACGTTCAATGAAAATCCTGCAAGCATCTTCTCTATCATATCTATAATATCAGTTAAAAATAACTTAAAATTAACTGATACAATTGAAATTTCCCAATAGAGTCCTTCCTAGATTTACGTCCTTAAACAAATTGAATCCTCAAAATTTTATGATCTACAATACGAAAATGTAAAAACTTCATTGTTATTACTAATCTAGTTATGTAATTTTTATAGTTATTGACATTCCGGATAAAAATTTTACATTATTATTAATTTATAGGATATTATTGGGGCTATTTGCCATGCGAATTATGCAATAAATTCGGAAGCTAAAATAGAATAATTGTAATCTAATGATTAATATAAGCGTTATGATTAGGTTATACCGGGGTTACTATAGGCCTAAATTATATAGATAATTATGTTTTAAATTGCATCTTTTAGTTGCTTCTTTATCTTTATTAATAAAATCAGTTTCTTTTCCCTCTTTACATACATTTTTACTGAATGATAATCTAAGAAAACGCAAAATGCATTTATCACATAGATCTATCTCTGATTAGAGTTAATCAGTAAATCGCAATCTTAAATAAGGCGGATGATTCAAGGAAACAATTGATGTAACAAAGAATTGACATAAACCTATCTATGTCAACCTATGCGGGTCCGGTTTCCTACCCTCATCTTTCTCTCTACAACTGAATTGTAAAACTTGCACATCAGATATCCGATAATACTTTGAATCCCATCAGTTAATCTACTAAGAATTATATATATTTTTTTATTTTTATATTATTTTAAAAGGTTAAAAGGCCTATAGGAGTCTTAGGCCTTGATAGAACTAGTTAAATATTTTAATGCCTTAGGATAATTGTTAAATCAACGAAATTGTATCAAACTCAATTTAGATTATCTAATAAAAGTTGTAAAATATTGTAATTTAATTATACTTTAGGATATTCAGTTTGAATGCTTCTTTTTTATAGATCAAGTTGTATCAAAAACTTGTTTGCAATGTAATCTACTTCCTGATTCAGCATAAAGTCATTATAAGAGTTGAATTTTTATAATAATCAATTAAATTGAAATAAAAGATACTTCAAACTGATAAATCTTATTTTAATCTCTAGAAAATTGTTTAATTAACTAACAATTTTCAAACTGTTTAATATTTATCAGTTTGAAAATTTAATCTTTAATTTAAAAAAACTATAGGTAAGCTTTTCATTTTTTCATTGAAAACAATGTTAAGTGTATTACAAAATATTCTAATAGAGAATAGGTTTAAAATTTAACAAATCAAATGTTTGGTATCGTATTTTCGATCGATTTATGTCTTATCTGCCTTAATTATTCTCACTTAGAGGTTTACAATTATAATATATAGGCTATTTTTAAGGGTTCTAAATATTGGAATTAAATTGTGGTATGTAGTTCGAAAAGATGGGATTTTGAGATTTCGATGAATTGCGGATAGATCTAGTCTATATTTGTCTTCGCTTCTTACCCCAAATATAAAGAAATTTGAAGTGTAAAATATTCGAATAATAATAATCTGTCAATCAATGAGTGACATTATGTATATAAGATTCTGATCGACTAACCGCCCAAGAGAAATCTTCTTGTCTTCCAAGTTTGGCTGTTCCTGTTTGTTTTAAGGAGATGACGCAGTTTGTGTGGTACGGCAGCTGGTCCCCTAGTCAATATTTGTTCAAGATGCCTGCAGTACTAACATCCACCAGATTGCGCAGTCCCCACTTCACAACTAGGCTGTACTCTAATGGGACGTGCACCTCATAGGAAATGAAATATCCTATCGGTCTCCCATGACCGAAGTGCAAATCGGACCCAATAAACTTGAAGATAATTTTATATTCTGTTTAATTAACGATTAAAGAAAACTTCTTTATGAAAGAAATTATCCTAATGACATCAATAAGGTTTAGACAATAGATCTATATCTTTAACATTGACTTAGATATTTTATAACACAACTGAGCCTTAATAGAGAAAGCTATATTCGTGTTCAGTAAGAATATAAAATAAATTTACTTACCAAAATTCAGCCTTTTATCTCTCTCTCTCTCTCTCTCTCTCTTTTATTTTTTTTTTTAAAAAGACCTATTAGGCTACGTTTTAGCATTAACTCTGTTAAACTGTTGCTTTTGATCGAAAATTAATAATTTCGATAGACTTAAACAATATATTCAGGGAGTGACATAGTTCCTAATTTGAATAATTAACGAAAATTGGCATTTAGTTTTCATCAAAATCGATAAATAACTTCAAAAATTATCTTGAAGTATCAAGAAATGGCAACATTTTCTAATTTGTTATAAATTAATAAAGTATATTAAGAGCTATGTTATTAAGTAGGATCTTTTTAGGCCTCTAATCAGGTATACAAACAATCCAACTAATCACAGCACTTCTACTGCGCCGCGAAGTGTTTAATCCATTCTAATCTATGAGATTAGTCCTATTCGGAAGACAATTCTAAGCGAATTTTAAAGTAACTTTCGCAGGATTAAAAAAAAAAACTGTATCATGAATTAAGTCTGCTCTTTTTTATAATTAGTGAATTCTAGAAATATTATGATGATAAAAAAATACTTATTTCTTTGTATAATTAAAAGAAACGTGGATAGAAAGACTGAAAACTGAAACATTAGGATAAAATTATTAAGGAGTGTCTTCAGTTACATATTTTTGAATTAAATCTTGAATCTTTGCACTCGAGACATCGTCAAATTTATATTTAATTAAAAAATGTTATGTAAAAATATAAAGATTACGAAATAAACTGCATGAACAATACATTATTCAACAAGAACGCTAATTTAAAATTAACGAATAGAAACTTGTGTTATGGTGTTAAATATTGTTGAGGAAAGCAAAACGAACCGAAGCAAAGTTAACTTGCAGAGAGGTTCGGAATAAAAGGATTGTTATGAAATGTTAGAAACTGGTGTTATGCCTAACGAAAGAATTTTCAGGCGAATTGAGAAACAACAGTTTGAAAAAGAACTTGGTTTAAAAAAGTGGAAAAGGTGAGAGGCAAAATAGCGTACGGAAAGTTTCTAGAATAAATCCTCGACGTGGGACAAGAGCTGTTTAGATAAGATGATCAAAAATTAAAAAAATGTTATTCCAAGTAGACAAAAGTGACCATCTACTCTTAGTATGACATGTCAAGGGGTCAGAGGACGTGTGAAGTGATTGTCTACATCGTCGGCTAAGAGCAACCCTCTAGGACTTAGCAGAGTGGTCCTCTAGAACTCCTCAAAGGAATTACCTCACCCGCACTCATACTGGAGCACCCTTTGCGGAACAGAATTACATGACTAAAATGACGTCACAAGAATACTTACTGGCAAATCTTGGATCAGGAGTGGTACTGTACCATCCCGGTGCCGTCTGTCTCATATGATCTCCGTAATGAGCCGATATTTCCGTACCATTACAGTACTGAGACGGAAATGTATTGGGGTGAGACAATTGAGGTACATGCATGTAAGGATTTGTCACAGGTACGTTCATAGTTGCTTGAGGCTGACTAGTACGATATGATACAGAATTTCCAAGTGAGGTTGCAAGTCCGACAGCAACTGTATTGTCCCCAAGTTTCTTATAACTCTCTTCAAGTGGACTTAGGATATCGGTCACGGAAAATGGGGTTGAGTGTTTAGGACTCACTGACATGGCTTGATGACAACAGTCACTGGGCTAAGTGCCTGGCGGCACGTACGTCTTATTACTACAGCCTAGTACTACTGGTGATGTACTTCACCGACCCATCAGATGCTCGCTAGCCCGCCAACCGTGCACCAGCCAATGGCTAAAGGCTCCAATCGGGCGCATGCGCCTTTAAACAAACTTAATCCAAGTTTTGTGACTTTATCGTATCTCGCTCTTGTCCTCTGTGCTTACCAATCTTTGTCAGAACAGACAAATTTTCCATTAAAATGCTTCAATTGTTTTATTACAAACGGATAAAACTTAGCTTTGTCGGGGTGGAGGTGAGGGGAGTGGCTAGCGCGCTTCATTCTAAATGCGTTGTTTGATTGGTCGTCTTACGTGACGCCTACTAGTTTAATTGGGTGTTTATACACCGGTTGCTTTCTTTCTGGGACGGGCTTCTCTTACTTTTGTTTTATGATTAGAAAATAATATTCTTCCCGCTTTTGTCATTAACCCAATTAAAGTATCGAAACTTAACTTTAACTTTCGGACCATCTCCAAATATACATTAATGCCATAAATAATCCGTTAAACAACTGCCATTTTCGACATTCCAATCGTTTTATTCAGCCTTATATCAATACAATTATGCAATTTTTAAGAAGAGTAATTAAATTATTTATAATGTTATAGATACATATTAATTTCAAATGATAAATAATTTATTTTTTTAGTTTTAGAAAAGTTAGACTTTTAAAATTTTCCAGTTCATTGGAAGAAGCTTTATTGTATAACGTTTTTAAAATTTCATTTTGAAATAAAATACTTTAAAATACACGAATTACACTAAAGTTTAAATTTCTTTATATACAACTTTATAAAATATTTTTAAAAATCTATTAAAATATCGTTTGACCAAAAAAGAGAAAGACACATTTTAGATTTGAAATTTAAATTTAATATTTTAATTTTATTAAATGTACAGTACAGTACATAAATAATAACAATACGTAATTTTTTTCTCTGTTTTATTATTTTTGTATGTAATATATTTATTTCTAAGAACGTCTAAGCCTTATATTAAAAGTTTAATATTTATACGAATAATTCGAAGTTTATTTTTAAAATGGTTACGTTCACATAGTCTATTGAATGTTTTGGTATCCTCACCACACAATATCAAATGGCCATTATAAAAAAATATAAAAAAAGTTGATAAAAGGGACAGAGCATAATATTGTTTGTGAAGAAGTTTCTTTAACTCAAACAGACTGCCGGATATTTAAATTCGATCTTTTCAGATCTGGAAAGGAATCAGTATAGGCCTAGTTGACTGTTCAGCAGATCGCGAATCCTTCAGAATCACATCTGCGGCTCTTCACTCAACCACAAGCACCATTGTCAAAGTGGATGGGAAACCTTAACGCAGGTAACCCCGAAAGTGTTATAGGAGTTAAGGATACTTTAGACTTGAGGGGTGACCAGTTTTCGCTCTTGCGCTACGTCAATATATCAGCTCCCCTTCTTCCAACTTCTTCTTCACCTTGGCTGACTTTAATAGTAAAAGTATCGAGTATAAACGTATGAAATAGCTTGAGTAATTATCTGTTAATTTAAACGTAAATGTACTGTACTTAAAAAATATTTTATTCATGCATATTACTTAAAGGTAAGAAATAAATAAAACTTAGTAGTAATGATGTTATTCTTGTTGAAATTTTAAAATAAATTACCTATATTATAAATCATTTAGGCAAGTATAAAATGAGAAAATCTATATCTAAAATTATCTATCGATAGATTTTTTAAAAAATTCTTTTGTTAAATTAATATTTTTCATATAAAACTAGTATTATGTGTTCATTATTAATTAATGTGTTTAGGTTATCAAAAATGAAAATATTGATAGAATAAAGGAGTAAAAGCCTACTGTTGAATCATAAGTTTGAACTCTAAAGGTATTTAATAATTAAGTCCATATATTGAATATAATTTCTTTTCTATATTTTTATAAAATTAACCACATAAGAAAAAGTGCCCTATAAGATCTGTTAGAGGCGAAGATAAGCAAAGTTGTAGCATAAAGCTATTCTTGTTAACTTTGTGTGTTTTCTATTACTTTAAATCGTATTAGAGAGGAGTAAATCTTGGCCTCGGGGGACATGGCTAAATAGCCGGTTTTGTAAGCTTTAGCTTCTTGTTACACTTCCTCCCCCGATTATTCGGTCTAAAGCTCACACCACGGGTGATTTGCCACAGTCACATAGGGAGTGACCGATGTCTCTATCTGCTTCTGCTTGCTGATCTAGAAGAGCACGCTTAGCTTCGTCTCTCTAAATATATCTCTATTCATTATTTTCTATTCAAACGTTTATGATTTAGACTCGTTATTTTTTTTAAATTAAATTTTAATTACGTTTCTATAAACTGTGTAAGGCTTTGTAGAATTTGGAGGTGTTTAAAATAGCTTAAACAGATCAATTCAATACACTTTTCTCATTCTTAGTTATTGTTATTTTCGTATCGTTCTATTTAAACTTATTTCTCAAAATATTTTATACGTTTCATGGATTAGAAAATAGAACAAGTTATTAAATTTTTAACGCTTTAATATTTCATTTAATAGAGAAAATAGAATAAGCTTTGAAATAAAAATAAGGTGGGACAATTATTAAGATCCTTGATTCTTATTTAGATTTCAGTAAATAACAAAGTCTAGTGGTTTAAGAATTGTTTACTTATTGATCTCTATTAAATCTAAATAAAGCTCTTTCAACATTTGAACATTGTTAAACTAACTCAGAAATTGAATAATTAATTAGAAAACCTTAACAAATTTACTTATCGAAGCAATGGAGATTGTTCTTTCGATTTATGATAGGGGCTTAAACAATTATCTTATATGTGAGACTCGGATAAATTCGACGATATATTAAGGATTTTAAAGAGCGATATAAGTCCATCGAAAAGGAATTAATACATGATTCTAGGTGATGGACACGTTTTGATATTTTAAAGAGATAAAAGCAAATTATTGACGAGCGACAGCTAATGTTTAGGCACTGTCAACAATAATGAAGAAAACAAGAAAATATCAAAGCTAATGGAATTTTCGAGTAGGCTTATCATTAGTAAACAGTAGAGGAGCTGGACAGTCATTAGTTTCGATAGTCACTTCAATAGTCACTAATGACTATCGAAAGCTCCTCCACATAATGGTTACTTTAGTTTTAAATATGCCTTCTGAGTTTAGCCACCTGTAAGCTCATAAATGAAAAATGAATCCTAGTTTGCCTATAAACAGATGTTATGAATTCCGTTGCTTACGGGTTTTGAATTGTGAACTATCTTCAGAATTCCGAAAATACTTTAATATACATGATTATTTTTTTAAAAGTTTCTCTAATAATATTTATAATAATGTTTTTTATTTTTATTTAATAATTTTAAATTATAGATTGTCCTACACACAGTACAGACAGAATCTTAATATCACAAAAGGGATCTTAAATAATTTATTCCCTATCCAGGTATAGTAATAGACATTTACAATAATTGTGTGAAAATTCCTTTTTAAATATATTCTAATAGAGAAAAATTAAAATATAAGTTGGCTTTTAAACAAATTATTTCCTAGTCAAATAAGAAATGATACATTTATAGTCTAATATCAGAATTGTAACATATATAGACCAATTCTTTCTCTGTTTATCTATTTAATGAGCCTATTAATACGAGAAATATTTAACTGAAATTCTTATATTTAACAAATCTTCGATAATGTTTTTCGAATTTGATCTAACTTAGACCAGACCAAAATACGAGCTTCGATCCACACGCATCTTTCTATATTTTATGTGCTCTTGGCAATACTTAATGCGGCTACTGAACTGGCTTTTTAACTTAAAAAATGATAGACTTTTGCAAAATATTTATCTATGCAAAATAAACTTATTTGTTTAGGCGATTCGTAATTTGTTTTTAACAATGTGGATATATAGGCTATATATATTTCAATTTAATCCACACAGCATTTATCTATTCCTCGAATATCTAACTCCCATTTCAGAATTTTATGTGGCTACTCAGCAGAAAAATTTGCCTGAGGATGACCTAGATTTATGTTTCTATGCTTTGGGCAATTCATATTCTAATGTTATAGGTGAAGCATATAGGCTTGTATATACTTAAAATTAAAGTTTATTCTTAAATGTAAATCTATTTTATCATATTTTTATCTTAATTTCGTGTTAATATCATATAAGTTAGGATTAATTTTCGTATTTGTCCAATAATGCCAAAAGCATACGCCTAATTATATCATAAACCTATTTCATTTTTTAAAATCAATTTTGAATGAATAAATACACTTAATTTATTTTGTTGATTTTATTATATCCGTCATAATGTCCTTTAAAACTTAGGAAAATTCACGGTTAGTATCGTTTTAGCTCATCTATTTACGTAAAAGAATAAACAAACGTCTACCGAGATCGTAATTTGATGTGCATAATGACGAATTAACACGTCACACTTATTGTAATTATTTGTTGATAGCCGTTATTGTAAACATAATATGAACTTTTCCTTAATAAATTTTATCGTATTTCCTTCTATCAGAATATATGTTATCTTAATTATATTTAATTTTAAATTTGTAGAAGTTTCTCATAATTTAAAAAATCTACTAAAGTTATTTAATTTAATAGACATATTCCTATAAAATTATATAATAATTTTACTAAATAACTTATTTGTATGATACTATGTTGGCAAGAGATCACCATCCCGAAATTAACACAAGATAATATATAGGGGATAATATTAAATTTATTGATAATATATTGCACTTACATTTATACTTTTTGAATAAATATTCCGAAAAAATAATTCAAAATAAATAGGCCTATATAAATTTTATGCAAATCAGCTTATAAAACGAAATTCAAACTTAATAATCACAGCAAAAAGTTTGAGCAAATAAAAAATATGTTTTTATCCCATTAAATTACCGAAAACTTTTCAAATTTAAAGGTATCTTTAATTTAGAATCCTACAAAATTGATTCTAAGCCTTAGACACAATAATTATAATAAACTTATATATAAAGACAAGGTCGTTATATGTTATGTTATATAAACTTTTAATATCATAAAATTTATAATTGGAAACATAACAGGAG